TTATTTAATTTTTCTCAACAGTCGAACGCGTTTATATAATACATCAATCTCTCCGAGGCAATCCCTCCTTTCAACTGCTAAAACCATCATCAAGAATGAAGGATGGACAGCTTTATACCGAGGCTTCTGGACTCATTTTATGCGAATTGGACCTCATTTTTGTTTAACTTTTGTTTTCCTGGAACAATTAAAGCGAGGTGTTAGGCAATTTCGCCTAGAAGAATATCAACGTCAGCTTCAAACATATCACCAAGCAACTACGGATCTTAAAGTGTAACATTAAGTTTTTATTAGATATTAAATAATATTCATAGACATTTTTCCTTTTTTTTTTTTTTAACATTTTCATTAAATTTTGATAGTCTTCATTTTTCATATTTTTAGTAATTTTAGTTTTGTAAAAAGAAAAAATCTTTATTTAATTTGATATAATTTTTTGTGTACAAACTTATGCATCCATTCTAGATAGAAGACGATAAAAAATATAGACATATAATAAGATTGAATATGTTGAATTAATTCATTTGAAATTTTAATAAAATTAATATATGCTAAGATCTTTAAGATTCTCCCGATAATTTGCTAATGAAAAAAAATCTAAAACCATGTGTCGTGTTGCTTGTATGACAGCTCTATTAATGTAGTACAAATATGTAACAATAAGAAAGGCCATTGTAGATGATAATTTGGGTGCTCCTATGACTCATTTTTTGTTATATGCATAGCCATCTATGTTTAGATAAAACTTGCATAAACATAAATATATATGTATTATAATGATATAAATGGAAAATTTATAACGTCATTCTGATTTGTCATTGTCATTCATAGGCCCTTTTTTTTTTTCAGATTATTCATCACAGGGATAAGCCGTCCTATAAACGCATCGGCCATCTCCGTTTTAAATGAGAATAAGCCCTGTTAGAATTTCTCTAGATGATTAATATTGTATAATAATAATAATTTTGAAATTGCTCTAAAGTATTACTCCTCTAAGCAGTTCATCTTATATTTATAGCAGA